ACAAATTCAAGCAAGAGTAAAAGAGAAGAGAGAAGGAGAGACAAGGGTAAAACATACAGATGGCAAATAAGCATATGAAAAGATGCTCAACATCGTATGTCATCAGGAAACTGCAAATTAAAACAAGATACCACTACACACCTATTAGAATGACTAAAATCCAAAGTACTGGCAACACCAAATGTTAGCAAGGATGTGGAGCATCAGAAATGCTCATTCACTGCTAGTGGGAATGCAAAATCATATAGCCACTTTGGAAGACAGTTTGGCAATTTCTTACAAAACAAACAAAAAACATGTTCTTACCATACAATCCAGCAATTGTACTCCTTGATATTTACCCAAACAATTTGAAAATGCATGTCCACACAAAAACCTGCACACAAATGTTTTCAGCAGTTTTATATGTAATTGCCAAAAGTTGGAAGCAACCAGGATGTGCTTTAATAGGCAAGTAGATAAGCAAACTGTGAATTTATGGACTAAACTGTGTCCTCTAAAATTCTTTTTTTTTTTTTTTTTTTTTTTTTGAGACGGAGTCTCGCTCTGTCGCCCAGGCTGGAGTGCAGTGACGCGATCTCAGCTCGCTGCAAGCTCCCCTTCCTGGGTTTACGCCATTCTCCTGCCTCAGCCTCCCGAGTAGCTGGGACTACAGGCGCCCGCCACCTCGCCCGGCTAGTTTTTTGTATTTTCAGTGGAGACTGGGTTTCACTGTGTTGGCCAGGCTGGTCTCGATCTTCTGACCTCGTGATCCGCCCGTCTCGGCCTCCCAAAGTGCTGGGATTACAGGCTTGAGCCACCGCGCCCGGCCTCTAAAATTCTTATGTTGAAGCCCTAACCCCAAATACGACTATATAGAGAGATACAGTCTTTAGGAGGTAATGAAGGTTAAATGAGGTCATAAAAGTGGGGCGCTAATCTGATAGGACTGTGGCCTTATAAGAAGAGAAGATTCTCTCTCTCAATGCCATGTAGGGACACAAGAAGGCAGCCATGTGCAAGCCAGGAAGAGGGCCCTAACCAGAACCTGAACATGGTGCCATCTTGATCTTGAACTCTAACCTCCAGAACTGTGAGCAAATAAATTTCTGTTGCTTAAACCACTCAGTGTGTGGTGTTGTCTTATGGCAGCCTAGGCAGACTAATAGGCTATGGAACATCCATACAATATAATACTATTTAGTGCTAAGAAGAAATGAGCTATCAAGCCATGAAAAGACATGGAGAGACCTTAAGTGCATATTGCTAAGTGAAAGAAGCCAATTCAAAAATGCTACATACTGTATGATTCCAACTATATGACATTCTGAAAAAGGCAAAACTATGGAGACAGTGAAAATATCAGTGGTTACCTGACCAGAGACAGGGAAAAGGAGGGAGGAAAAAATAGGTAGAGCACAGGGCTTTTTTAGGGCAGTGAAACTATTCTGTATGATACTGTAATTATGGACACATGTCATTATACATTTGTCAAAACCCATAGAACAGGTTGGGAACCAGGCCATGCAGCGGGAGGTGAGCAGCAGGTGGGTGAGTGAGTGAGTGAAGCTTCATCTGGATTTACAGCCATTCCCCATCACTTGCATTACCACCTGAACTCCACGACCTATCAGATCAGCAGCAGCATTAGATTCTCATAGGAGTGCGAACCCTATTCTGAACTGCACATGAGGGATCTAGATTGCACGTTCCTTATGAGAATCTAATGCCTGATGATCTAATCACTGTCTCCCATCGCCCCCAGATGAGACTGTCTAGTTGCAGGAAAACAAGCTCAGGGGTCCCACTAATTCTATATTATGTTGAGTTGTATAATTATTTCATTATATATTACAGTGTAATAACAATACAAATAAAGTGCACAGTAAATGTAATGCACTTGAATCATCCCGAAAACATCTCCTGTGCCTCCCCGTCCCCACCCCCTGTGGGAAAATTGTCTTTCATGAAACCAGTCCCTGGTGCCAAAAGGCGGGGGACCCCTGCCATAGAATGTACAACAGAGTGAACTTTAAACTATGGGCTTATAATAATAAGTTCATAATAATGTATCAATACTGGCTTATCAATTGCAACCAATGTACCACACTAATGCAAAATGTTACCAATAGGGGAAGCTGGGGATTGAGGGGAAGTACATGGAACTCTTTGTACTATATGCTCAATTATTGTGTAAATCTATAACTATACTTAAAAAGTAGGCCTATTATTTAAAATAATTATGTGAAATTCAAATTTCAGTGTCTATAAAGCTTTACAGAAACACAGCCATGCTCACTTGTTTATGTTGTCTCTGGCTGCTTCTGCACTATCACAGCAGACTCGAGTAGTTGCAACAGTGACCATGTAATCACAAAGCCTAAAATATTAACCATCTGGACCTTTAGAGAAAATGTTTGAAGACGCTTGTTCTAAATTTCATTACCTAAGTTAAAAAGAAAAAGGAAAGCACATCCCTCACAGGCTCTTCTGAGTTAATCACTTTATTTAAATTGTTTAGAGTTGTTAAAATCACGAGACATACTAACTACATAATCTGATTTTAAAATTTTAACTAGATAGTATCTAATATTAAAAAAAAAAAAAATCAAGGCTAGGCACGGTGGCTTGAGCCTGTAATCCCAGCACCTGGGAAGTTGAGGCAGGATGACTGCTTGAGGCCAGTTGGAGACCAGCCTGGGCAACACAGCAAGACCCCTGTCTCTACCAAAAAGTCAAAAATTAAGAATTAACCAGGCATGGTGGTGGCGTGCACCTGTAGTGCTAGCGACTCAGGAGGCTGAGATGCAAGGATCACTTGAGCCCAGGAGTTTCAGGTCACAATAAACTATGATCGCATCACTGCACTCCAGCCCGGGCGACAGAGCGAGACCCTATCTCTAAAAGAGAAAAAAAACAACAACAAGTAAATCAGTGAAGTACTTGAACATCCAAAACAGCAACTGTCACAGAATGAAACACTAGCAGACAATAGTGTTTCACTCTATTGCCAACAAAATCTATCCTACTTACTGAACACCTAAGGAATTAAAGTGTTCAAAGAAGAGAAGACTGTTAACAGTTTGAAAAGGGAAACCTGGAAAACAATGGAAATGGGCACATTCAGGGAGGGGCAGGGCAGGATACCTGATAGAAATGAGTCAGTGAACTGACTACAAAGAACGGAATGCTCTGTTAGAGGACATTAAGTCAAGTGATCAGATAAGTCAGGAAAATGCAGCCTGGGTATCAGAAGACAACATAAAATAATGCCATGAGGAAGTGTCCCACAGTTATAGTTTAAGAAATGTTGCTGGCCAGACACAGTGGCTCACACCTGTAATCCCAGCACTTTGGGAGGCCGAGGTGGGCGGATCACCTGAGGTGGGGAGTTCCAGACCAGCCTGACCAACATGGAGAAACCCCGTCTCTACTTAAAATACAAAATTAGCTGGGCTTGGTGGTGCATGCCTGTAATCCCAGTTACTCGGGAGGCTGAGGCAGGAGAATCGCTTGAACTCGGGAGGTGGAGGTTGCGGTGAGCCGAGATCGTGCCATTATACTCCAGCCTGGGCAACAAAAGCAAAACTCCATCTCAAAAGGAAAAAGAAAAGTCATGAAAATATAACAGCTGACTAGCTGACAAAAACAAATCATAACTACCCAATATATTCAAGTAGTCTTATTAATAACCAGGGATCTTAGGAAGAATAAACTCTGCAGACACGAGTTAGGAAAGCATTATAGAATAGATACTAGAGGTACAGACTTCGGAGGTCGAAAAACCCGGTGTGATCTTTCTTCTGCCATTAACTAGCTTCAAGAATCTGAGCACAAATTCTGTTAGCCTCAGTTTCCTCATCTCTAAAATAAACAGTACCTCATTGGACTGTTGGTAGGATTAAACAAAATACTGCATGTTGAGAGTTTAGCAGGGTGCCTGACGCAAAGAAAGTGCTAAATAAATGGTTACTGTTACTAATGTACTTGGCTTAGGAAAATGGGAATAGAAGTCTTAAGTTTTCCAGCAACTCTTAGAAAATCTACCCAAGGATTGAAATAAATCTCCAATAGAATATAGTTTTAGAGAACATCTGCCCTTGAAAAAATTAAATGACTTTGTTCAATAAATAGTTGAGATTCCTTCCACTCATGCTATTGAGAATGCTGATCCAAGGGAGAAAGATAAACTGGGTTCCCCTCAATTCCGAGGCTGATGAGTGGTGTAGGCTCACTAGGGGGCCCATTTGGGAACCTACACAATCCCAAATTCATATTGGAACCTAAGAACAATATTACTATTATATCTTGCAATCAAGAGGAGAATAAAAGTCTCCTCTAAATACTTAGATAACAAAGCTTCTCCATTCTCATTTCCACCTCATTCCATTCCATTCTTCCTGACTACCAAAACCAAACAAAATATCCATTAGCAAGAAAATTAAGAGCTGTATCTGGAAAGCAGTCAGGGTTCTACCATGAGTATTAGGTCTAGCTAAGCAGGGACCCGAGGTCAGGTGCTTGGGTGTTTTGCTTTTCTGCCAAGATGGACATCAGGTTTAAACCAATAGTAAAAGCTGTAAGATTAGGATTTCTTGTATATGACCACATTCTCTCATGCACATCAAGCACACAAAAACCCACTCCATTGTGCTCACCGCCCACATTTCACACTTAGGAAATAGCTTGCAGCCTTTTTGGCGGTCCCAGCCATCTTGCCCTAAACCTCCTAACGACGTCCAGTGTTAGCCACACAAAAAGATCATCCAGTACTTCCCCAAGGGAACAGTGAAAAACGATAGTTAACTCCAGTTAGACAATATTCTACTCTCCCTGTGGCCAGGACAGAAGCCGAACGATCCTCCCAGACTCTCACAGGGGCACGAACGAGAGTGACGAGTGGCCTCACTAACCAGGCAGGGTTGGTCCACACCTGTCACCACGACTGGGCGGAAGTAGGGAGGAAGAAACCTGTAGATGCGAAGCCGAGCCAACCTGGTGCATTATCAGATCCCACTCACCCCAATCTTCATCCAGCCTGTGAGAGAGTCCCGGGCTAAAAGGTGACTCCATGGTGCCGGCAACACCTCCCGACTCCCCCATATCACAAGTTCCTCTTCCCTGGAACTCCGTGATTAATATCTGGGACGGCGGCGGCAGGCGGACAAAATACTCCGTAACGCTGACGAGACGGTGGCCGAGTAAAGACAAACTGCTTCTGCCGCACGAGGGAATTAGTACGACACAGAAGAACGTCAGAGACTAAGCAAATTTAAACAGACCTCTGAGTAAATATTTCCCTTTTGGAGTTTTCAGGACTTTCTGTCCCGCTGTTTTATGGGGGAGGCGAGGTAGGACACGCAGACATCGCTTCGACTGAACAAAATTTATCAACATTACAAATAAAAAGTAAAGCCCCTTTCTGAACATTCTGGCTTATTCCTTGATTATCCTTCTTAATACCACAGCGTGGCTATCTCAGAACAAAATTAGAGACTAATAGTAAATTTAGTTTAATTTTTACAAATAATTCTCTATTCGTGTAAAAATTCTTCATATACGCATGTATGAAAGAAAAACACTACTATTTTTCCACATTCGTGAAAACTGCTTAACTGGCACAGTATCCGAGGTAAGTGGTAATATAAAACATACTTCTAGAAAGCCTACTTTTATTTAAATAAATTGAAACAAAGCAAATATAAAAGATAACCCCCCCAAATTTATCTCCTAAAGATAAGTTTCTAAAGCATAGTATTTAGTCAAAGTCCAAGCGAGCCTCCCCTAAGACCTACAGTAATCGAAGTTCCCAATATCTGTATTACTAAAACATTCGGGGTTTATTGAAAGGAAATTCACACACATCACGAACTCCAACTGAAAATATGAACTGAGTTTGATAAAGCAGTTTCAAGAACGCTACTTAAGAGAATTTCTTTTTCATCCATTTTAAATTTCAGCGGCCAGTGAATATTTAAAATACTGTAACATAAGAACACGTATGCCTCTAGGACCACGTGGAATCTTTCCCATGAGTGGTAAGCAAAACAAATGTGCTTCCCGGAACCCTCCAAACTGCTCTTGGCTGTATATTACTACAGATTACATAATGCAGGAGCGTTCTGGGAGGCAAGCTCAGAAAAAGACCATGAAATCCCCTTACGTCAGATGTGACTACTTTTGTCATCAGAAAACTAATAAGTTTTCATTAAGGTGAAATGTATAACACTTTTATTCTCACCCAATTACAAATTCAAAAATTGCCATAAAAACTAAAATAAGACCAGGCGCGGTGGCTCACTCCTGTAATCCCAGGACTTTGGAAAGCAGAGGCGGGCGGATCACGAGGTTAGGAGTTCGAGACCAGCCTGGCCAGCATAGTGAAACCCAGTCTCCACCGAAAATACAAAAAATTAGCCAGGCGTGGTGGCGGGCGCTTGTAATCCCAGCTACTCGGGAGGCTGAGGCAGGAAAATCGCATGAACCCGGGAGGCAGAGGTTGCAGCGAGCCAAGATGGCGCCACTGCACCCCAGCCCGGTCGACATTGCGAGACTCCGTCTCAAAAAAAAAAAAAAAAAAAAAAATTAATAAATAAACTAAAATAAAATCAACAAGTCTTCTGTATCCCACTAGACACCTTAGTCTTTTAAGAAAATCACCATGACAAATCGCCAATTTTTTTAATTTCCAAAAGATTTTATTTTTTATTCAAAAAGTGCAAGTAGCCGGGCGCGGTAGCTCAAGCCTGTAATCCCAGCACTTTGGGAGGCCGAGACGGGCGGATCACGAGGTCAGGAGATCGAGACCATACTGGCTAACACGGTGAAACCCCGTCTCCACTAAAAAATACAAAAAACTAGCCGGGCGCGGTGGCAGGCGCCTGTAGTCCCAGCTACTCGGGAGGCTGAGGCAGGAGAATGGCGTGAACCCGGGAGACGGAGCTTGCAGTGAGCTGAGATCTGGCCACTGCACTCTAGCCCGGGCGACAGAGCAAGATTCCGTCTCAAAAAGAAAAAAAAAAAGTGCAAGTAATTATGAAACAAATATTTTTGGCCTATCATTGAGAATTTTAAAATTTAACATTTTTCATTTTTGTCCCAGATTTTTCATAAGAAATTAAATATGACAGAATTCAATTCCTCTTTCCTCCCTGCTTCATTTTCCTCTCTTGGCATAGGCCACTTCTACCATGAATTTTATGGGTATAAAATTCTATTTTATAAAAATAAAAGTGTAATTCTAGTCCACTTTTATTTTTACTTTTACGATGCTTAAACATGTTTATAGACACATGCATTTAGTGTCATTTGGGGTGTTTTTTTTACGTATGTAAACTTATACTCTAATGTTCTCCGAATCATTTTTCTTATTGGACATTACTTTTTAAGGATCTACCCATGGTATTTCCTTGAATAAATACACATATCACAATTTATTTTTCCATTTCCCTAAGCATGGACAAAATTTGGGTTGTTTCAATTGTTTACATAAAATATATCCTTGTATGGCTCTCCTTGTGCATATATGCAAGAATCTCAACCTCTCTCTCCCTCCTTTTTTTTTTTTTTTGAGACGGGTTCACTTTTTCCCCTAGGCTGGATTGCAGTGGCGCCATCTCAGCTCAGGGCAGCTTGACCTCCCAGGTTTAAGTGATCCTCCTGCCTCTCCCCCAAATAGCTGAGACTATGGGAACCCACCACCACACGCAGCTAATTTTTGTATTTTTTGTAGAGACAGGATTTTGCCATGTTGCCCAGGCTGGTCTCAAAACTCCTGAGTTCAAGCAGTCCGCCTGCCTCTGCCTCCCAAAATGTTGAGATTACAGGCGTGAGCCACCACACCCAGCCTCAAGAATGTCTTTAATAATGTATGTACTATTTTATCGGTTTACACCCTCGCTAGCATTGATGAGTTCTCTTTGCTCCACATTCTCTTCAACACAAGATATGGTCAGACTTTTATCATTTTTACCACTGTGAAAATTGCAATTTATATTTCCCTAACAAAGTGGTGCATTCTTCCATACTTATGAAACCTTATTTCCTCTTCTGTGAACTGTCCACTCTTACCTTTTATAAAGTTTGCTACGGAGTTTTCTTTCACAAATGATGTGTACGTCATTAGATAGCCTGCTCTATTCACTGACTGTATAAACTAAAAATAAACTCCTAAGTCCCCCACCACCAGAATAGGCCCCCTTGTGGCCAAGGGGATCCTAGAAAACCTTAAAACTGAGTTTTAGACCACGGTGGAACAGGTTAGACACACCTTGTTATACTCCCTCTCTTTTGTGGTTTAGACACAACTGGCCAGCATTAATGTTAAAACAGAGATGATAAGACTGACAGAACAGACTCTGGCAATAAGATGCCAAATTATAAACAAGACCTAAAGCCATTCCAGGCAAGGCTTTAGTCCCACACCCTTATACTTAAAGAATAAACTGTGTTCTAACTGCCACAAGTTCTTCTCTAGCAGCTAAACAAATACAGGCCTCAAGAGAAACAATATTAAAACAATGTGCAGCTCCACCAGATGCTGACTTACTGATCCCCAGCCCCAGCATAGCTACAGATGCTGACACCTCCACCAGATGCTGACACCTCCACCAGCGTAGCTACAGATGCTGACAGCTCCACCAGATGCTGACTTACTGATCTTCCACCAGCGTAGCTACAGCTTTCACTGGACAACTTTTTGTTGATTTCAGTAACTTTCTCCAGATAAGAACACCACTGGCCATGGACTGGTTCTGGCTGGTTTACAGAGGTTGCATATTTACATGGCTTCATGTCCTGAAAGACCTTTCGATGTATAGGGCTCATTGTAATACATTTAAATATTAAGTCTCTGGTGTGGGTGTGGTGGCTGGGTGTGGTGGCTCACGCCTGTACTTTGGGAGGCCGGGGTGGGCAGATCACGAGGTCAGGAGCTTGAGACCAGCCTGGCCAACATGGGGAAACCCCATCTCTACTAAAAATACAAAAATTAGCCAGGCATGGTGGCGGGTTCCTGTAATCCCAGCTATTCAGGAGGCTGAGGCAGGAGTATCGCTTGAAACCGGGAGGTGGAGGTTACAGTGAGCTGAGATCGCACCATTGCAGTCCAGCCTGGGTGACAGAGCAAGACTCTGTCTCAACAACAACAACAACGAAAGAGTTAAGTCTCCATCCCAAAGTGAATATGGATCATATGTTACATGAGTTTTTTGTTCAATACACATGTGTCAGGACCACTTTCATGAATATCCATAGCTCTTCCTGTAACCTGTTGAAAATGTATGTTTAGCCAGCCTGTTCAGCCTGAAGCTCCTACACTCCAAGCTCTTCTCCTTCAAAGTGCCTCTTTCTGGAGGCACGCTTCCCAGCCTGCAGGATGGCAACCTTGCAGGCCATAAAGTCTCCCCTTCTTTTCTAAATTTATTCATTGTGGGGTTTTTTAATGTATACATTTTTTAAAGAGAGAGAGAGAGAGAGAGTCTCGCTTTGTTGCCCAGGTTGGTCTCAAACTCCTAGGCTCAAGCTATCCTTCTGCCTCAGCCTCCCAAAGCACTGGGATTACAGGCGTGAGCCACCGCACCCAGTCCATTGTTGGGTTTCTTTTTAAGTTGACACTTGGTATATATGTTGTAAATACCTTCTCCCAGGTTGACACTTGTCCTCTTTGTTTATGGGGCTTTTGTTCTCTAGATTTTAATTTCAATGTAGTCAAATTTATCAATCTGTTGTTATGATAGCTGACATTCATAGCTTTTTTAAGAAATCCTTCCCTCTCCTGAGGTCATTAAGACTTTTGCTTTTATTTTCATAGTTTTATAGTTTTGTTTTTCACATCCTTTTTTTTTTCTATTTGGCTATTATTGGGGTATAGCAACACTGTGGATTTTTGTACAGCAATCTTGTACCAAAAACCTTGTTGAATTCTGTTATTCTAATATTTTGTCTGTGCCAGGCACAGTGGTACACACCTGTAATCCCAGCTTCTTGAGAAGCTGAGGCAGGAGGATTGCTTGAACCCAGGCGTTCAAGGCTAGCCTGGGCAATATAGCAAGATTCTGTCTTTTTTTTTAAAAAAAAATCATATTATGATAGATGGAAACTAGTATGTGATAAAATGACTTTTAAAAAATTGTCTAAAGTTACTGAGGATTTTTTATTTAGAAGAACATTATGCAAACACCAACCTTTTAAATTATTTTATTTAATGTTTTAA